GTTGTTCTCGTGATTTATGGCGCGGATTGATAGTTCGTTTGCTTACGTGCGAAGGAAGAGGATGTTTTCTTTTCCCGTGATTTTCCTTATCGATTGGGGGGCCGAGCCTATGGAAAATTCAGAATAGATAAAACATTTATTACGCTAGAAGTTTATTGTAGAATTGGGATGATATTTCAACGCTTCTGGAGATATTTCTTGCGACTATATTGCGTGTATCTTGAAATTTCAATTTCACTGACACTGTTGCATCGGCACTAACGATAACGATAAAATTATAGAAATTAAAGTTGTAAGAAATACAATATATAGCGACAAAATTAATTTCAATTCACGAGTTTCAATTTGTACGTACATACATACATGTACATACTATGTATCATGGCGATGTGTCTGACCCAATACGGTTCGACGCTCGTTCTACTTGAATGGTGGCCTACAGCCAGAATCACTCTCAATTTTTCAGTCACTTTCAATCTAATTCCCTAACTTTTGACCAATTTTACGTTTGATCAACACGATTATCTCTTACTTGCACATGCTAATGAAATTCCAAAATGTTTCACGTAGCACACAATACGAACATGAAAGTTCTTTAAACAACGTACGCAGATGTACACTTCCGCTCAAAAGTCTTTGATTAGATTTAGGATTATCATGTAATATAACATAACACGAAAATATAATAATACAATATGTCAATACATTAGCAGAATCTTTAAATTTGTATAAAGTATGTTTTACATTTATTCTATTTAATTTAATTTTATTACATGCATTTATTCTAATATAATAATATAATATATTGACATATTAGCCTTATTGTATAAAATATGTTTTACAATTATTGTATTTAATTTAATTTTAAAATATGCATTTAGTCTAATATAATATATTGACATATTAGCCTTATTGTATAAAATATGTTTTACATTTATTGTGTTTAATTTAATTTTAAAATATGCATTTAGTCTAATATAATAATACAATATATTGACATATTAGCCTTATTATATAAAGTATGTTTTACAATTATTGTATTTAATTTAATTTGAATATATGCATTTAGTCTAATATAATAATTTATATTGACACATTAGCCTTATTGTATAAAGTATGTTTTACATTTATTGTGTTTAATTTAATTTTATTATTCAGCCTAATATATTTATATTAATATATTATTAGTCTAATATAATAATACAATATATTGACATATTAGGCTCATTATATAAAGTATGTTTTATATTTATTATAAATACAACAATATATATATTATATATCGCATATTGCGTGTATAATTTATAAATATTGTATTTACTGTATGTAACTTATAATTTATATATATATTCATTATGCCACTTTTATCAAGTAAATATAATACTCTAAGATTTCTGAGGGGAGGTGTACACAGTCCCGCATAAGCTGCGAAAGCGTTAATAACATAATCGTCGTTAATTATCCAGGCTCCCGGCGTTCGCAATAACAGTTTTCACCAATCGAACGAGACGTTTGGTTTTTCAATTCAATTGCTCATTTACGACGACGTTTATTTAATCCCCGCTCGAAACGAGATCATTACACGGTGCCTCGGCCCCTTTCACCAATCACGCACCACGCAACATCACGAACGAAGGATTTTCATTAATTTTTTACAAGTTGCAAAAATGGCCACCGATGGACGCTCGACAAACGGACGGAGGATGGAAAATCTCTGACAGTCGCGACGAACCATGACTGAAGCGCTTTAATCGGTCGGTTGATCCCGGGACGATTCGCGTAAAGCTTGGCGAGAATCTATCGTTAATCGGCTGTCAATTTGCAAACGACCGACGATCGGTGAAAAAAAAAAAAAAGAAAAGAAAAGAATTGCGAGAGGCTCGTTAAGCTTTCGCTTCGAGCACGCATAATGTTAATATTCGCGAGCGTGTGCCTTTCACAGGCACTGAAAAAATAGCTTCATTTTCAAGTTGATCGATCAAACTTCGATATATGCGCGTGTCGCACGTTTCGTTGCACTTATGTTGGCCAATTATTCAGCGAAAGTATCGCTCTCCTCGACGACCCGTTTGAAATGTTCCAGTCACGAGTAACTTCGGCATCTCAATTGTTTATTCTTAGTTTTTCGATTCATTGTCAGAAAATGTTGATTACTCACGGATTTACGAAGCTTGGTGCCAGTGATGATTGGTTTTTAATGACAGTTGGTTCGAGGAATTTCGTAGTTCTAAAAATATAATGCGTTTGCACATGTATGTATAATTTTCATCTCAGAATGTATATTTCCTTTTCTAACTTTTATGGTGGGGAACAATGATACATCGTCCCTATATTTTTCTCAATACGTTCTTTGAATTTTGTAATTACTCGAACTTGCAATTTTTCACTGAATTTTTATACTCTTCTCTCTCGAAACTTTTTATCAAATCTAGCTCGATGTTTACTTTGCCCTTCTTCGATCAGTACTGAAAAAATTAAGATTTAATAAATTAAAAATAAGTCATTACTTTTTCTAAATGTGATATATTTACATCTATTTTTAATAAAACTTTGATACCAATTATAAACTTGAGATTGCACTGTGTTGTATATTGAAATCTATAAGAGCCACGCAATTGCTCGCTAATAATTTCATAAATATTTTCACATCTCTCCTCCATCGTGCGCTTCGCGCTCATCATTTCAGAACATGTTTATCAGACATCAACGTCGTGCTCAAGCGTATAAAATCTCACGGAGACGAGCGTCGTTCTAACCTCAATTTCGCTGTCGTGTTATCGCTCGCTGCTCGTCTTAATTGGTTAGTAAGCAAATACGGTGAGAGTGAGTCGCGTGACGCTAATTTCGTAATCGAAGATGACTTTCTTCGCTGTCGCTGCAGCTTCGAACGTTCTCGATATAAATCGGGATGATGTATGCTGTCAATTACCTGCTGCTTCGTGCGTACGTTTCAAGTCATCGTTTGTGACATGCTTCATTTAGATTTCTCTGGCGTTAAATTCTACAATTTGATTTCATATATTCATTGTGTCGATACACGATATTTCTTAATGTCAATTTCAAATTTCACCTAAGTTTGCAAAACGTAATTAGAATAATTTGATAATTTGACTCGATACTTTAAACTGTTGTAACTTCGTGAAGAAAAAAAAAAATCATGCAAAAATTTCAAGGAATTGATCCAAAGAGGAAACTTTGAATTCTACGAATTCTCGAGATTCAATGGCCAGCAAAATTTTTTCAGTATCTATAAAAAAACCTTGTTTGAACTTGCAAGATTTTCAAGAGAAAAGGCATCTTCACCTATCCTCATTGAAAATTTCTTTTTTATCGACGTTCTATCAGTAATCTCAGATCAAAGTTTCCCCTTTACGACCCCTTTTTCCTTAAAAAAAGTTTCTCGCAAGATTTTTTTCACCAAATCACGACAATCTAAAACTCTCATAAATGTACCTAGTATTTCTTCGTATCAGTCAAAGTGTTTTTTCTTTTTTTTTTTTTTTCGAAGCAGATGGTTAAAAATTCGTCGACAGCTCGGTCATGAAACAAACGATAAGGCCGAGGGTGTGTCAAAGAAGATGAAGGCTGTCGGGGTCGGTTCCGCTCGTATTCTCTGTCAATTTGTTTCGCGGCGAAGGTTTTATCGAGACGTCCATTATTCTTCGGTGGCAGTGGCTCAAAGAGCGGCGGGAAACGACAAAGACCCAATGAACTTTATCAAGCGGACGCTGCTGCGCTGCGGAGTGCAGTGACACGCCGATGCAATTTGTCAGTCGTTGCACCGTAACCTTCTCTATGAAAATTATCCGGCTGGAACACAGCCAATAAAACAGCCGAGGAAAAGTTTCGCGGCCGTCAAAACGAATATCAAATTCACGGCTGCTGCCGCCTGTAGAAACGAATGAGACACTCTTTGTTCTCCATTATTCTCGTTTCGGTACGTTGTCCCGAAAAAAGTACAGACAATTGATGATCGTAAGGAAAATTCTTGCTCTTTGTTCGTTAGATTAACTGCGAGCACCGACTTCCGATTGATTTGTAAATTAAATGTAGAATTGTAAAATTAAAAGTAGAATATATAAAATTAAAAGTGAAATTAAAAGTAAAATTAAAAGTAAAATATATAAAATCAAAAGTAAAATTAAAAATGAAATTAAAAGTGAAATTAAAAGTAAAATTAAAAGTAAAATATATAAAATTAAAAGTGAAATTAAATGTAAAATATATAAAATTAAAAATGAAATTAAAAGTAAAATATATAAAATTAAAAGTAAAATATATAAAATTAAAAGTGAAATTGAAAGTAAAATATATAAAATTGAAAGTAAAATATATTATATTTAAGTAGTATATTCTATAATGTACGATATATAGTACATTATAAAATAAATTGAAAATTTTTGAAGCAGAACCTTCGATAAATGTCACAAAATTCAATTTATGATTTTAATTGGATTATTAATGAACTATTTGTAACGGTTGATCGATACAGAAAATAACAGTAAATTGAGTTTGAAAAGTACAACTGGCATGCGATATTTATCTTGGAAATATATTTCCAAGAAACGTCACAAACTTCCATTTCATTTAGTTATTAATGTGTTAAGTTAACGAGCCGCGAATTTGCAACGTAAATGTTTTTTACTCTGTAAATTCTTCTCTCTCGTTGAAATAGGAAGTTTCGTTGACTACATAAAATATATCCACCGTGTAAAATTTCACACGTTAATAAATTTCATTTCACAGCGACAGCTATACTTTATAACTTCTCGCTTTTTTGTCACGTGGCTGAGGTTCGCTCTTTTTTTTTTTTTCAATGTTACACTTTATATATTTTCAGTACATTCGCATTATAAATTTACAATTTTTTTTCTCCTCGCAAGTGCTTCTCGTATGTCGTACCAAAGTATATCCTGTACACGGTTAATAATTTATACACGCTTACGGTTACGAAATGGAGATTGACCGATCAATTAATGTCGTTATTATCTTTGTTTCAGGTGAGTAGGCGCTCCAAAGAACGTGCATCTCTCTACCAAGAGACGGGGAGGGTGAGTTAACTTGAGTTGAAACTATAGCGACATTAGATCATAGATAGCGAATATCTTTTTGTGGAACTTCGAGAAAAAGAATCTATTATTTTTTTCAATTTCGTCCTAATTTTGAAACTGTTGTCCAACTCTTTATAAATTTATACAGTTGCACGATCCTCTTTCGACTTCGGGCGCGCTGATGAATTGATAAAAACACACCGAAATTTCTCAAACGTACAATTATTTAGTATCTTTAATACTGTAATATTATGACAAGCAACATTTTGAAATTTTGCAAAGAGATGAAAAAGATATTTACCTCCAATAATTATACAGAATTACTAGTAATTTTTCTAATGTGAAATCAACTGACAGTGTAATGAATTTTAATTTTGGAAGCGATGAAAACAGTCACCTAATTATCACCAAATAATTATAAAGAATAATTTTTCTAACACGAAATCGATTGGCAACGTAGCGAATTTTAATCCTGAACGAGAAACTTTATTCCGTACTTCTGAAGGGATGAAAAAAAAAAGACGTTCATTTACTTCCGATAATTGAAGGATTATTAATAAAGAATTATTAATAATTTTTCCAACATAACATCGATTGACAACGCGATGAATTTTAATTTTAGACAAGATTTCCATCTCGCATTTTAGAGGGGATGAGAAAAGACACTTGTTTAGCTGCAATAATAACTTCTCTAACATGAAAGTCAATCGACAACGTAATGAATTTTAATATTAGACAAGAAATTCCACTTTACGTATCAGAGGGGATGAAAAAAATATCTCTTCAATAGTTATAAAAAGAATTGTTAATAATTTTTTCTAATACGTCACCGTCTAAAACTCTAAGACTAATTATAAGAAATTTCGAATTCGAAGTTCCTCACTCCCCCATAGTGTTCGTATGCAAAACAGACGTATTTTCAAATAACGCTGACCTTCTTGTATACATTTGAGAACCGCTATCCCGGTGATATACGCGTACGTACACAATGTGTTCCACCTACGTAGGAAACTGTCGATACAAACCCGTTTGATTATCATGCACGTTACGTTACACGGGACAGGAAGGGCCTTTTAATAATACCTTCGTGTTCCTTCGACACGTATCCGTTTACAGATGCATCGAGACGTTTATCGAGACGTCGTGTCTGTGTCACGAGGTGAAATTGAAATGGAATATACATTGACGAATTAATTTTTTCTCTTTCGTCCTTCTCTCTCTCTCCCTTTTTTTGGTTGGTTGACTGTTAATTTTCGGGAGAGATGTAAAACGAAATTAGAAGGAAATTTCAATTGGAGAACAGCGAACGGTTTGAATTATGCATTTCGTTTTATTGGACACGAGTTGTAATGTGAGGCGAATTGTATTGGTATCGTTTCCTCTGTGAAAGAGAAGTGTATAATAGTGTCTCCGGTGGCTAAGCAGTCTAACAGATTTTTCAATAGTTTACTTTCGTCGAGATTTTTAAATATTTTTATATATTTAAAATATATTCAATATATTTAATAATTATATAACATTTAATAATATATTAATATATCAAATAATTTTTTATATTTAAAATAATTTATATATTTTTAAATATTTTAACCTTGTTAAAATTCTATTCAGTCCGGATCAATTCTCTGTAAGAAGAGTTCCATTCACTCGTGAGGGAAAGAAATTATCAAGAGATTCTTTGCTTTGAGTTTTGGAAATTAATGGGATAAAATTTAAAGAAAAAAGCGTTGACTTAATGTCACGCGACATTATAGAATTTCAAATGATTTTTAAGCGAGCTATTCAACAATGGTCAAAATGACCATTATTTTCAATAGAGTAGTAGCATGTTTTTGATAAATCGTATGTCTAAAAATTTGAATGATCCTTGTAAAACAATGTGAATAAACGCAAATTCCTTGCTCTAACTCCTCCGACTACAGTTTTTCGGTCGGTAGTGTGAAATAAAAGAAACAACAACAATCAAATGAAAAGAGAATTGTCGAAAAGCGGCGGACGAACCGGGAAGAAATTCACTTGGCTTCTCTCCTGGGAAACGTATCTCTCGAACGTGAATCGCTTTCCCAACCCGGCCAATTCGCTTCTGGACGTGCAAACAGGCAGGAAGAAGCATCTCGTACGATTGCCCGATCAGGCACGGACGGCAGAATTTTAAAACCGTGCCGCGTAACCACTCGTGTCGATGCTCGCACGTGTTTATGGCGGTCACGTAATTTCGTTGCGTCGCGTCGTTGGAACGGGGAGAGGACTCGCACTAACGAACAGCAATCAATTATGTAAGCAACTAGGTCAGAAAAGTTCACGGTCAATTTTACCCGTGGGATTGTGAGTAAGCCGCGATCGAGCCTTAAGGTAACTGGATCCTTCGTCAAAGCCAAAGTGACTCGATTCGTTGGACCCTTCCTCTTCCTCCTTCGCTGCCTCTGAAACGCGAGCTTTGATTTGTTTTATTAGAATAGTTTCGTTCGGCTATATTTGACAGAGTCTTGACCCGGAATCCAGGAGGGGAGGAAGAGTTTAGGGTGATCGTGCAAAGATGTTCTTCGATTCAGTGTTTCAGCGAGATGAAGATAAGAATGGAGATTCGACGAGTTAAGGGGATTCTGTTTCAGTGAAAATTCTGCGTCGAACACAGTAGAAAAGGATTTGGATAGGCTGAGATATTGCAAACCAGAGAATATTATCGGTATTAAAATATTAAAATATTAAAATACGGTATTTTTAGGTTACTAATCGATTACGTTTGATGAAACCGAAATGGTGGGAATACTGGTATGATGCTGTTAGGTCGGTAGATGTATTTCGGTATAATACCGGTAAATAAAATATTAATATATTAAAAAAGGAAAAGGAGACAATGATTAAATGTTTTCATAAAGCTGCCGATAGTAAATTTGATGACGCTTATACACGTATCCTTTATTATTTCTAATACTAATTCATCTAATACTAATTGTATCTCCATACAATATCAGCCACGATACTCTTAGTTAATTTTAAACCGATGACCGATTTCTCGATACATTTTTCCTTTTTCTCGGTGAAAAATGACTAATTGTCGTTCGATAATAAATCGAAAGAGGAGTTAAAACAACGATTAATCGTAGAATGAAAGAATATTCCGCTAAATTAAAAAAAATTACTGGAAATACGCCTAATGTGCCTTAAAGTTAAGGGCTAATATTAATTATTGTTTATGTTAACAATTTTCAGGTTCAAATATTGTAGTTCTTCAAATGTCCGAATATTTTTGCCACGCTACGTTTCGAGATAGTTCAGTTTATTGTTTGATATTGAGAAAAGTATGTGCAATAAATAAATAAAATTTATNGTTACTATAAACTATAATGAATGTTCTATTATATTATTAAAAAATTAATCCAAATTTACTATTATAAACAATCGAAATCCACAACAATATTTTGAATAGCATGATGTCCGATTATTAATAAGAGTCACTGTACGTAGAAAATGAAAAATGTGTTTTCGTCAGGAAAGCAGTACCGGTATATATTTCGGTATTTTTACCGTTGTGAACATCAAATACCGATAAAATACGTATGAAAATACCGGTATGACAGTCTTATACCGGTTATTAAAACCGATTTCCCAAATAGCGGTTATATTGCGATAATATGGGAGCAAATACCTGTGTAATACCTAAATCTCACAATATTTCGGCTTCAGTCTCTGAGTATAATACCTAAACCTCAAAATATTTCGGTTTTCAGTCTCTGTTGCAAACTTTTACATTTGGGTAATAATACAAAGAATATTCATACATTAGAATACCTATTAACGAAATGATTGATTACGAGAACGTCGATCAGTAGCAAATTTGAGAATAATTCTTTAGAAACGAGTAAAAACTTTTACTTCAGAATAAAAAATTCAACGTACTTTTTTTTTAAGAGCTGTTGCTTAGAGGACAATAAAAAATGTTCAAATGTCAAATTTGATCGATAATCAATCCGTTCGTACCATTTCTTTCGTAAAGAAATTGTTGATGCCTCCAGTTAAAAAATATGCATCTGTTCGATTTCCACGTCTTACGACCTTACGAATCGCAATAATCGTACAAACAAAGAAATGGAGATGAATCAAAGTGCTTGGAACTTTTATCGGAGTTCTCGAGACTGGAAACTTTTATCGGTAATTAATCCAAGACCATCGGCAGACCGATCCTGAGCTTGTTTCACTGAAGTCTCGAACGATCCTCTGTTTCAATGTGCAAGAAGCTGTGCGGTCGAAATAAATCGCGATGGTGATGAGACAATACAAAGTTTCTTAATTCTTCAATTCTTCATGTTTCTGATAGATCACCAAATTTTAATATCTCAACCTCGCTCTTGTTTCAACAAACATCCTCTCACACTTGAGAAATTTTATTAAAATGAAGTATAGAGAAAAAAATAATAAAATAGGAAGCAAGATTAATTAATCCAATGAAACTTCACGTAACTCAAATTCTCCAATTTCCGATAGATTCCCATATTTTAATACCTTGATCTCCCTCTCGTTTCAATAAACATTCTCTCGCGCTTCTCTCGAATTTCAGAATTTTATTAAAATGAAGCATAAGTAATAAGTAATAAGATAGAAATATAAAAATATTATACAGTGGTTAAAAATATTGAAAATAACCTAAGAAGCACGATTAATTAAACCTAACCTAATTAAATCTAACAACCTAAACTTAATTAAATTTAATAAAATAAATTTAATAAAATAAAAATCTAACCTAATTAAACCTATTTTAACCCTAATTTAACCCTATTAAATTTAATAAAATAAAAATCTAACCTAATAAACAAATAAAAATAAGAAGCAAGATATAATTATCGTAGAAATCGCAAAATTTCTTTAGACTTTATTTAAATTTTATTTCGACAGAACGTCTGTAAATATCAGCACACGTAACAGAACTGTCGCCATTTTTTTCGCAAATACACGCGAAAATCGTCGTTTCTATCGCTCGTGGCCGCTCATGGACGATCGAG